TTTTTTTTTCCTGAAAACATAGCTGAGCTTACCAATGTGTCACTATTATGCAAGTGACTGAGCAGTGAAGGCGAATCCAAAGAGGAGGTTGAGTCAGAAACTTTGAGAAAAAGTTAACTACAGCGAGACTGATACTGTGAGTCCTTAGGACTAGATGACTAAGGTTGGTTTTGTGTTAGTGATTTAGGCATTGAAGAGAGAGAGAGAGGGGGGATTTAAGTTGTACTTGCATTTAAGAATTAGGGCATCATTTTCTATTTTAAACCTGACATATGTGGTGGTCCATATTCATCACATGCAATGTTAAAAGCCCTTACTCTGATGGTCACTCGTTTGAAAAGAAAGCGAAGTCAGCTGAAGGCATGTCGGGAATCACCAGGGAGAAGCACTGGCTTCAAAACTCCTTGATGCTGTTCTTACCGTTAGCCCTCCTTTGTCACATAGGAAGTTGGCAGCTAGCAAAAGTATCAGGGAAACAACACACAAATGCAATCTAAACATCAGTAGTCAAACCATTAAAGGGTAAAGTTAAAAAACAAAAAAAAAAGGGGGGGTGGGAGAGAGGGGACAGAAGAGAAGCAAAAGTATCCTAAATTGCTTAAATCTAAATTTTTTTTTCAGTAGATATGTTCAATTGAATCTTCCTTTTGCTCTCCTAGTACTTCCCGTATCCATACAATGTGTAGTTTTCTCCTCTGTAATTGTACACACTGCTAATTCTAAGGTAGTGTGTGTGTGTGTGTGTGTGTGTGTGTGTGTGTGTCTGTCCCGAGTCAGTGACAGGAATTCAACTACTTGAGCCATTACTTCCTGCCTTCCAGGGTACGCATTAGCAGAAAGCCAGGATCAAAGCGTGACTCGGACTCAGACCCAGGCACTCTCAGGAGGGAGGAAGGAGCCTGTAGCAGCTTCCCACTCACTGCTCCAAATGCCTCCTCTGGCTGAGGCCCAGATGATCAGCTCTCAGAAACAGTGCTTAGGAAAAGGAGAAATCTATTCTGGATCGTGTGAATGACCACAACAATGCAGGTGAAGGGAGCCTTCTTGTCCAAGGTGATCTGGTCCTCGCAGTTCTCGGCAAGTTTCTGGCGCCAGCTCATGCTCCACAAGTATGGAACACAGACCTAGACAAAGAATGTTCTTGATTTTGCACAACATCGTCAGTCATCTTTGCCCAAGTCCAGATCACAACTGTCAACCTCGTATGGTTTAGCAAGAAAAGTCTCACCCTCTGGTGCTAGTTGCTCTACTTCTGATCTGGCTCCTTGCTGATATGTCTAGAAAACAGTGGAAATGGCCAAAGTCCTTGGGCCCCTGCACTCACATGAGACATGGCTTCTGGCTCCTGGCCCCAACCTGGCCCAACCCTGGCCACTGCAGCCATTTAGTGCTTGAACCAATGAATGAATGGTCTCTCTCTCTCTATGTCTCTTTCGCTCTCTCGCTCGCTCGCTCTCTCTTGCTGTCACTCTCTGTAACCGTGTCATTCAAATAAATAGAAATGAATCATTCATTTTTTTTAACCTGAGTTGAAGACATTTCAAAAGGCTTTAAGAAGAAATTATCCCTTCCCCAAATAGGAGTAAAAACTCATGATAAAAATGATAAGAGGCAAGAAGATTTTCACTTTTTTGAATGCTTTTCTTCTCAAGACACAGAGCACTGTCCTAGGTGCTGTAAATTTTTAATGCTGTCATACAAGAAAAACCAAGAGTGCAATAAAATGTTCAGTGTTTTTTTTTAAGTTCAGGACAAATTCATGTTTAAGAAAATGGATCAGAGGAGGCGTCTATATAGTCCTCTTTTGGCAGCAGACTGCTTCTCATGGGCAGCGGGTGAAGGATGCTTGATAATGTCAGGTGAACTGTCTCTTTTTGTCAAGCTGGGTTCCATCACACGTAGTATGACCAAAGCCAGGCTCTTATCCATGCTGTGAGTTAGAGATTGGGTTCTGAGGTCACACAGCTAGGGACACCATATACTTCCTACTTGCTCTGCTGCTTCCAGAAATTTCAAGTTCACCAAAAATATGGTCTATTGACTCACCAGGGTGCTACAGTTCTTGCCATAGTAGGTAAAGTTTCATCTGTGGAATGTTTCTCACCTTCCTCCCACTCGCCACACCCGTGCAAGCTGGCTCCTACTGAATTCTAGGTGTCAACATCTAGATATTTCACTCTGACTCAACTTTCCGTTCTCATATTTGATAAGATTAGTACAAATGAAACAGGCTTGATAATAGCCAACTCTTTTAACATATCTCAGTTGTTCAACAATGATGTTAAGGGGCTCGAAAAGACACTAAAGTGGTATGTTTCTCATACAAAAGAACTCCCAATTGAATTGCCTTAGAAGCTGTCAGCTTACCGAGTGTTCACTTCATCCTTGGCACTGTTGAAATTGCATGTATTAATATACATAATACTTCCAAGGAGCTCAAAGTGTGAAGATGTGGAAACTTTCAGCAATAAGTGGTTAAGGGGCCTGCTCAAAGGGGAACTTAGCAAATGGCAGAGATAGGTGTTGAGTAGTCTGACTCCTAAACCTGAGTCTCAACCTCCAGGCTACACTGATTCCAACAGAGTGAGTCCAGAACACCCTTGATGTGCTTAAAATAAGATGTGTATTTAAAATATAGCAATCATTATTGGGATAGAAGTGCTACTTAAAGCAGGATATGCCCGTGGAAACCAGTGCTGCAATTTCAGGATTTGCTTTCTAACTAATGAAGGGCATTTGCTTTGCAAGAGAATTAAGCACCAAATTGTGCAAGGGTTGAAAGGCTCACTGAAATCAGGATTACACCCACCTTAACATGCTGTGTCAAGCACCAAGGGCAGAAGGAAAGAAAAGCAGACTGGAGCGAATGGTTACACACTCAGATTTGAGTCTCAGCCATGTATGTGGGTTAGTTTCCAAATGGACATTTGCATTGCCTTTATGTGGATCAAGTTGGTGTTTATTTGCCAAACATGTTATTTAGATTCAGGAAAATGACAGGATGGCCCCAGGAAAGTTTCACAATAATAGCCTAACTAGGTTCCCCAGATTGCTTTGGATAAAGGGGCCCTGGTGTGTTTGATGAACACAGCCACAAACTGTGTTGGTTTGAGGAAGGCAGCAGGTCTTAATTGGGAATTTTGGACTAACTGTCAGAGACCCACTGACACTCAGAGTCCCATGTTGCTGTTACTGAAATTTAGAGACTTGGAATGAATCTTTGGTTCTGTTTTGGGGGTGGCGGGGTGTGAAAGGAGAGCCAGAGATTATCTTTGTGAAAAAAAAATCTAGTTTTTATTACATTACCTAAAGTAGCACAACCTGCTACGCTAATGAAATCGTGTTCTTGGTTTAAAAGGGCAATTGTTAGCCTGACTTTGTGCTCACTAAAAACATCCCCCAATCTTGTTAAGTTATTGCTCTCATTTCAGATTTTTATAGCTGTGCAGCTTACCAGCCCTCATTTCTTTACGTTTCATTCATTTTCCTTGTATTGATGATTAATGGAGGATGTCGAATGTTAGAGTGAGCAGGCATCAGCAATTGCAAGATCGTAATTAGTTTAGCTGACGAGGGCCTCTGATAGCACTTGCATCTGGATGGAAAAATTACCCTATAGGGAACTGGCTGCTCACCAGGTCTTTTTAGTGATACATTGTGAAACACCCGATGAATCAAATGCCCTTTCAGTGCCAAGAAAGTGTTCCAGTCTTGAAGCCAAAATTATGTCTGCAGAAAGCTTTCCATTTGAAATGTATCAGAGTACAATTATAACCATTGTATTTTCTTGGCAGGAATACCGCTCTTCTACAGTAAGGACTTGAGTTAAATAGATTGCCTAAATTTTATGAATCTCTGAAATTTTGACTTATAACATTTGTAATATTTAATCTATAATAAAATTGGGTTCCAGAAAGACTTTTTCCACTCCTTATCTAACATGCGTATTTTATCATTAAAAGACTGCTTTCCAGAGAAAGGAGATCTGAGCTGCAATTCAGGCTTTTTCTTTCTTTCTTTTTTTTTTCTGGGAGAGAATTCTATTTCCTGTCTGTTAACATTTGTGCCTACACACAGCTTGACTTTTGTTTAAATGAGAAGTTTCACTCATTTATGCAGAATCGTCACTTGATGGCAAGAATGCAGCAAGCAACACTAATTATCTACTTTTAACTAGTCTTAGATTATTTCTGAATCCGGCGATTACAGAATTCAGGTCGCTCGCATCAGTTCTTAGTTGGAAATACTTGTGACTTCTGAGTCTGAGTCAAATGAAATAAAGAAATAGCCACCGATGGGGTTGTGTTGTCTTGGTTAAGCAGGCACCTCTTAAAGAGTTCTCATTAGAACACTTCTCATTAGTAGTGTTTCTCTTTAGCAGAACTTCCTGCTGGTCCCTCTCAGCTTTGTGTAATTCCTCATGTTCCGCCTCAGATTTTAAAATCGCAAATGAAAAATGAGAATTGAATGCCCTCTTATCTCTTTGTACTTAAGTTACATCAGTAACATATACAGTTTTACACATCAGCTCTAATTTGAAGTGGATTATAAGCTGCATTTATTCCATACTGTTTCTAAGCTCAGGTAGTATGTTTTCCTCTTTTTCCAAAGTATTTAAGCGTATTGTCATGTTTCTCTTCACACCCTCCCCCCCCCCCATTTTTTTCCTTTATTTTTTGCTTGGACATTTTCAAAGGTGTATTTTAGGATTCAGCATGGAGAAGCCATCATTAAACACACAAAACCCAAAGTTCAAAAAGTTAAAGCTGTTTCTGTGAAAAGCCTTTGGTGTTCCACACACCTCATCCATCACTGTAGGGTTAATTATAATGAAAATCAGTGGTGCCTATTAAACACAATTGAACCTGACCTCATTATGGGCACTGTGGTTTTATACTGTCATTGTAGCAAATCTAAAGACAAAACTCCTGGGTTGATTTGATCTAACTCCACTGATCATGTGACTCACCTCTGACCTTGTTTTTTTTCCCCCATTTCAGAGGCGTAGAGGCTCTGGTGTTTTTTGTGCCAATTGCCTGACCACAAAGACCTCTCTCTGGCGAAAGAATGCAAATGGCGGATATGTATGCAACGCGTGTGGCCTCTACCAGAAGCTCCACTCGGTATGTAGCTGTTCACGTATTTCAAGGAAAGCTTTGTGAAGCCGGCTCGTCTGATGTCCCAGGAGATAAGCGCTGATGTGCAGTGCTGGCCGCCGCAGGGTTGTTGAACACAGTCAGTTAGAATGCACGCACATATGATTTATGGGGAAAGGAGCTTAGATGTTATGGGCAAGTCCACGTGAAACCATTAGTAATTCGTTATGCCCCTTTTGATATAAAAGAGAAAAATGATTGACTTCTGGGAACTTCACGTAGCAGTCAAATTAATGGTTACCAGAATTCAGTGGAATGAATTGAGGTACAAAGAGAAACCGTAAAAACTCCAAAACTACATAGCAAATTGTTTTTGTTTGGTGGTGTTTTATTTTTCAAGATACTCTAATATTCAGTACCAGGTATGGGGCAGGGAAAGCAGGTAGTCTATGGAACTTGCATCTTGTGTCATCGGGGCTGCTTCAAGCACCTAGGCGTGGCACCTGAAGAAGCACAGGCCTGGACTAGGATCCGATTATGTGGCTCGCATCTCTGTAGTACTTGTCCTAGGCTTTAGGTAAGGAGGCGGCCTGGACTCCTGAAGAGGACACCTTGACTAAGGTAGTTACAGGATTGCTGTGTGTTATAAAACTCCCCAGCTGCTGTTGGCTTCCAGAAACCCTCCAAATTACTTTTGCCATTTACTTAGCATTTGGCAATAAAACTTAATCTCACAATCTTCCCCCACCTGTCTATGCATTTCGCTTCCTGAAGGATATGTATTTTTTTTTTTTTAGCTTAGAACATTTATCTGCTGACAAGAGCTAACTATAAAATCGGAATACCCCAGTCTCTTTCCCCGTGCCTTTTACATTTAGTTTGGCATTTTACCATGGCTCTTAGCAAAAACCCGGGAATAGATTTCAGCTACATGGAATACAGTTTTAGACAAAATATCTTCATAAATGGACCGTTAGAAGCACCCTTTTGAAAATGCTTGCTGCCAACAATACTACCTGATAGAGAACTAAAAACCTTAATTATTAGCATGTGACCGATTCAAAGGTCCTACCACGACCACACTGCTGTTTTGCGAGGTTATGATAACTACTGATATCCATACTATTTCCTAAAAAAAAAAATCATCTCTACAGACTACACGCAAAGTGGTTTTATTTGATTAGGATTTATTTATTTATTTGAAAGGCAGAGTTACACAGAGAGAAAAAGATTTCTTCCACTGGTTCCTTTCCTGGAACCAGAAACGAGGAGTTTCTTCTGTATCTGCCACATGGATGGCAGGTTCTCAAGTACTTTGCCGTGAGCAGAGAGCTCGATCAGAAGCATCACAATTGAGACCCGAATCAGCAATCATATGGGATGCTAGCACCAGAGGTAGTGGCTTAACCCTGAATCCCATAGCACCCAATCCCAAGATGTTTCCATTGTGAAATTTTTCTAACTTTAAATTGAAGTACTTAAAAGTTACACTCAAAAAAGTTATTAAAGTTGAAAAATAAAGTGCCAATTTTAGGGTTCCTCACAGGATAGAAATTAAATACCATGCATTTTATAATATGAATGTGAAGCTTTCGTTAATCTGAACTTTCTGACAAAATAAGTACATCTAGTCTGTGCAAGCTATGTAGCATGTTCATTTTGAAACTAGTAATTGATTCGTCAATGGCAAGTATGTTAGCTTTCTTTCCTTACAAATTACCTTTGTGGTGATAGAAATATTACAAAAAGAATTGTGCTTGTATTTTGCTTGGTATATTAATAATGCTGCCATGAGTTGAGGTGCAGCCTTTCTGAGAATCATTCATGCATTAAATATCACTGATTTCTACTTTATGTAGAAAGTATTTTCTGACTTCTGTGATCTTTTTGAAAAAAACTAAGACACAAGCTGTTTAGCATAACTTTATAACATTCACAAGCTTTTTGTAGTACTATGATTATTTTCCATAATATGTTTTTGTAGTATAAATTTTTAATCTGTGAATGTATGAATTCATTACACATACTTTGATTTTTATAAATCAAGTTAGAGCTTTCACTCTAATCGAGGCATTTTATAATTTTATTTGCTGATTTTAGTCATATAAACACCTGTTGAGCATGCACATAGATGCCAGTCATATAAGCTGAATAAAAACGCTGAAGCTGAGTAAAAGTCAGCATTCATCTTACATGAAGAATAAAATGACAAACTGGGTATTTGAACCAAGGCCACGAATGAATTCAGACAACACAAAATTAATGCTTTGGCTGTTTACCCTAGCATCTTTGCAGAATCAGATATCATTCGGGAAGAAAAATGAAAGGAAAGGCATCCTTCCACGATTGCTTTGGTTACCTGCTCTTTCCTCACAGTCCATTTCATCTTTGATTAGCTATACTATGACGTCCATATTCTATATTCACATTTCTAAGTATCTGAAAGGACACTCATGCAAGAGGTCCTCAAATAGTTTGCAGGAAAGGTTTGTTGTGAAAAAATGGGTGTGTTTCAAAAAATTTTGACTCCAAAGTAGGCTAATCTTGTTCCACAGCCTAGGAACTTACTGAAGTACTCTTGATTTAGTCCACTGTGGCTGCCATAATAAAGGGACACAGTTTGATTGTTTTCAAATAACAGGAATGGGTATTTTCTTGAAGTTCAAGAGACTCAATGACCAAGAAGATTCTTATTTCTAATTAGCATCTTCTTGTTGTGGCCCACTATCATAGGCAGAGATTTCTCTCTCTCTCTCAACATTTATTTATTTTTTATTTGCAAGGTAGATTTTCCAGAGAGAGAAGGCATGACAGAGGAAGTTCTATCAGGTGGCTCACTCTTCAAATGGCCGCAAGTGCTGGAGCTGAGCCATTTCGAAGCCAGGAGTAAGAAACCTCCGCTGGGTCCACTACATTGGTGCATGGTCCCAAGGACGAGGGCCATCCTCCACTGCTCTTCCCAGCCACAAGCAGGGATCTGGATCGGAAGTGGAGCAGCTGGGACTTGAACTGGATGATGACACAACAGAAAAAGAATTGGCCTGTTCTGTCACCCTGGCAGTCCCATGAGCTCTCTCTTAGGCCACAATCTTATTGGTTAAGACCCCACCTTATAATCTTTGGTACTTGATTTCCCCCGTGAAGATCATATTACTAGGGACAGTCACATGTGGGTTTAGGTCTTCAACTGCTCAGTCCAGACGACTTAGATTTTCACCCAGTACCATCAATATGTGTCTCCTGCGTTTCTTTGTTGAAATTACAATGCCCAATATAAAAGTTGAAGATATTCCAGGAGTGCCTTATGCCTTCAAGTACCGTTCTATAAAGTGTTATCTGTAAAGCTACCGTCTGCAGATCTGTTGAGTTGGAAAAGTCTGTTTTCAAGTAGATTAAAGTTTTGTGTCACTCTCCCTGCCCCCAACCTCCTGCAAAGATGGACATGATTTAATTAGGCTGAAATACTGCACTGTGGTTATTTCCTCTGATCTGCTTAGGGCGAAGGAGGAGATTTTAACAGTCTATAGCATAAAGCCTATCCTTGCTTTGAACTTTTGCATGCCTTCTTTTTGCGAGGAATTTTTAATGCATTTTAATGCAGTTTTTAATGTTCTCCTTTTATGTATTGTGTGTATTCTCTGCAGACTCCCAGGCCTCTAAACATCATTAAGCAAAACAACGGTGAGCAGATCATTAGGAGAAGAACAAGAAAGCGCCTTAACCCAGAGGCACTTCAGGCTGAGCAGCTCAACAAACAGCAGAGGGGTAGCAATGAGGAGCAGGTCAATGGGAGCCCGTTAGAGAGGAGGGCAGAAGACCACGTAACTGAAAGTCACCAGAGAGAAATTCCACTCCCAAGCCTAAGTAAATATGAAGCCCAGGGTTCATTGACTAAAAGCCATTCTGCTCAGCAGCCCGTCTTGGTCAGCCAAACTCTGGATATTCACAAAAGGATGCAACCTTTGCACATTCAGATCAAAAGTCCTCAGGAAAGTACTGGAGATCCAGGAATCAGTTCGTCTGTGTCTGAAGGGAAAGGAAGTTCTGAGAGAGGCAGTCCCATAGAGAAGTACATGAGACCTGCAAAGCACCCAAATTACTCACCACCAGGCAGCCCTATTGAAAAGTACCAGTACCCACTTTTTGGACTCCCCTTTGTACATAATGACTTCCAGAGTGAAGCTGATTGGCTGCGGTTCTGGAGTAAATATAAGCTCTCCGTTCCTGGGAATCCGCACTACTTGAGTCATGTGCCTGGCCTACCAAATCCTTGCCAAAACTATGTGCCTTATCCCACCTTCAATCTGCCTCCTCATTTTTCAGCTGTTGGATCAGACAATGACATTCCTCTAGATTTGGCAATCAAGCATTCCAGACCTGGGCCAACTGCAAACGGTGCCTCCAAGGAGAAAACGAAGGTACCAGCAAATGGAAAAAATGAAGGTCCCTTGAATGTAGTAAAAACAGAAAAAGTTGATAGAAGTACTCAAGATGAACTTTCAACCAAGTGTGTGCACTGTGGCATTGTCTTTCTGGATGAAGTGATGTATGCTTTGCATATGAGTTGCCATGGTGACAGTGGACCTTTCCAGTGCAGCATATGCCAGCATCTTTGCACGGACAAATATGACTTCACAACACATATCCAGAGGGGCCTGCATAGGAACAATGCACAAGCAGAGAAAAGTGGAAAACCTAAAGAGTAAAACGTTAGCACTTAGCACAATTACATAGAAATAGGTTTTCTTGATGGGAATTCAATAGCTTGTAATGTCTTATGAAGACTTATTAAAAAAAAATACTTCATAGAGTCTGCCTTATCCAACATGAAATTCCCTTCTTTTGTTATTCTTCCTTTCAATGAGTAGGTTACCGAGACTAAAACGTGAGACAAACGGTCAGTGAGAAAGAATGAAGATGGTGAACAATCAGTTTTTAAAACCTAGTAAGCCAAAGCCATCTTGGCTGATGTGTACTGGGGAGATGATCCATGAGAGGTGTAACTCCAGGTGACCGCTGTTCGTCAAGAAAGGTAACTCCTGTCTAGAATTAGAAAGGAGTTGCATCTGCTGAGAGTCAAAGCTGTATTGATTCAACAAACCGTAACCCTAGGCAGATGAAAAGCAATCAGATCTCCAAGGCAACAGAAGGGAAAGTGACATCCTCTCATATCAGTCTCCTCTCATTGACCATGTCTCAGGTTTTGACCTAGAAACATGAGCCATGGTTAGGCTTGGTGAGAGAGCAGCAGGAACCATGACAGATGGCAGCACGATGTTTTTGGCCATCCCAGCCTGTACATACACATGCACACCCTCTTTGATATTTTTTTTTTTTGTCCTTTAGATGTTCAAATACTCAGTAGACCTTTTGTTGGCAGTATAGGTTCATTTTGTCCAAATACGTATCCATTTAAAAACACGATGTCCTCGATGCTTTTGTAGTAATTTTACTTCAGCAAGATATTTCTTTCTTGTATGGTGTGAACCAGTTTGGATTTGTTTTTTAAACCTCCTGTTGGTCACTAATCTCACTTGGCACATGATAACTAAAAGAATCCCCTCAGTTCAAAAGAATAGGATATAAAAGACCGTGGGTTTAATTTGTTTGGAACACATGGCTTTTCTCCACAAGGTAACCTGCTGTATTTATTTATTTTCTTTTGGTTAAATATAATTTCCAAACTTTGTGGTCAGGCAGCGTCTAAGGTTACGTTACCACAGACTGACAGTTGGTTTATGTACCAATCAATCCCTTCATTGGATTTATACAGGTTTAGTTAAGTAGCATTAAATAGGATTCTTAGAAGTATGTCTTCATAGTACTTTTAATACTTAAGGCTTTGTAAAAACTGTCTATGAAGGGAAGCTCCTCAGCATGACTGCTCAGGGAAATAGGGCTAAATAACTGAACATTAAATAATTGGTTAAAGGTGCTGTTAGTCGAGCCTCAATGCTTGCTACACGGATGTATGTACAAGGACTGACTTTAATAATTTGCATTATATTGTCCCAACCAGTAGTTTATTTTTTTGCCACGGAGATGTAGAAGATATTACAAGCTACTGGATGCACTGTCAGATTAACTTATTTCATTAAAGAAGTTGGGAGAACAAATAGGAAAAAAAAACTTATTTTTCTAGTAAATATTAATGTATTACATTTCAAATAATGGTGCCTGACATATTGAATAATTATTTTCTACAGTGTACGTATGCAACAAAGATATTCCATCATGCATTAGAGTCAGTTCTGGCTCTGCCTAGCTGTTTACATTTGCAAATGTAGCAAACAAGGTAATGAAGCAACTATTTCTATGGCAGTAGATATCTTTTGTGTGTATGTGTGTGTGTGTATGTGTGTGTGTGCGCGCATTAAAGATGTACACGGTAACATGAAACAAATGAAAGTTCTTGATATCATGGTATGGTAAACAAGAAGGAAATGAAAATATTTTTATGCCTATTTAGGGGGAAAAAAAGGGTAGCACTATTCATTCCAAGTACTTTTTTTTTTAATTTTTAAGCTCTTAACTCACATTGTTATGCTTAAGATGATAAACATATATCCTCTTTTTATTGCTTTGTCTATGTTTCAGATGAAACATTTCAGAAATTATTTTGAGAAGTGCTGCTGGAATCTGCAGCGCTGATGTTTTATTGCATTCTGTAGTTGCATTTGCACTCCATTTTTACATTAACTTGCAGTTGCTTTGTATTGTTTTGTTTTGTTTGGGTTTTGTTTCTATTTCACAGTGCCGGGTGTTCATTTCTCAAAGTTGGTTGGCAGGTAGAGTTCAACTGGTTCATGACTGTTGTAGTGAATGAAGTTCCAAATGTCTTTCTGATGTTGTGTTGTCATTTCCATTCTTACAGTTTTGTTTTCATGTAAAGAGAGAGAAAGAGAGAGAAATGAGGACTCAGTCCTCTGCTTCTGTTTCACAGTTAAAGGGCCCTATCTGATTGCACCTGTTGCGTAGCTATGCTATTCATAAAAACTGAAATAAAGAGGTGGAATGAGGAGCTTTGACATTCAATGGCTTACCACAATTTATATTTCTTAGGAGTTTTGATGGACACATCCCACCCTGTACGGGCAGACTTCAGAAACGAGAAAGACCTAAGCATAGATTCCCCCAACAACAATGTTTACTTTTCTTAATAAAAACAATAATAAAATGCACTGTGGCAATCATCAAGCAACATTATAGGTAGACCGCTCAATTGAAAAAATACCAGAAGTTTGGTAATGGGCAATATTCAAGGTATTACTTTTTGGGCAAATCTGCCCAATGATTTCTCCAGTGTGTGTGTTTCAGACACATATAGGATGTTCATATTTGACATGTATGCCTTCTTTTTAATTCAGTTGTTTTCTCAGACGTAGTGGCAATGATTAGCATTGGAAAATCCATATCTCTGTTGGAATATTTATGGTTCAGTCTACTTTTGGTAGAATATTCTTGAATAGAGTTGACGTGATAGATTTTTATGCCATACTCCTTTATTGATTATTTTATTTCATTTTTGCTTTCATTATTATACATATTTTGGTGGAGAAGAGGCTGGGCTTTTGAAAAATTAAAGATTATCATAACACTAAAATACTTCTTTATTTTTTTCACTTAATGAAAGCCTTTATCCCATCTTTCAAAATACCATTTTCGTTTTTTTTTTTTTTCAAGATTTCTGATAATTTTGTCTTAAGTTGTGATTCTAAAAGAGCTATTTAGGTAGTTAATCTTTGGTTAGAGAACTCTCAAGATGATTTAGGAATTTTTCCTTTTGGAAAAGGCTTCCCCTCTGATGAAAACTGTTATGTCAGCTGAAACTGTACACCATTTAAAGACTGTAGATGTTTGAAAAATGGCTTGTCTCATTTCTAAACTGAGCTTTGGGTCAAACTTGAGGCCAGCATTCTCTCTTACTTTTCTCACTCTTTCTGTCATTAATACTCACCCCTAGGTCCATACTGTTGTTTGGGATAGAAAATCATAAACAGCCAGCCCACCTCAGAAGTTTGTGGATTGATTGAGACACTCTGTCACTAGACAGGAGCAGAATGGAGCTCTCAGTGCTAACCCATTCACGTGGTAGTTCAGAAAGCAAAGAGTATGCCCAGTTCTCTCTACATGACATATTGAGATGTCCTTTAAAAATATTTTTTCAAAATCCAATTTTAAGATAGTGATGTTCGGTTCTAAACTGTCCTCTTTTAGTAAAGGTAGAATTTAGAAAACAAGCATGGGGATTCTTATCTAAGGTAATATAAATGAGAAGAAGAAATAATGATTATCCCTTACAGCTCTTTGTTGAAGCCTGTGGCAGCACATTATGTTTATGATTGCACATGTGCACATATTCTATTATGATCCAATGCAAATACAGCTCCAAAAATAGTAAATGTATATATATATATATTTTAAAATGCCTGAGGAAATACATTTTTTCTTAATAAATTGAAGAGTATCAATACTGTTATTGAAATATTAGCCTTCTGCTGTGTGGCTGCAAAACATCACCAAAGTGACCTGTCTTGAGACATGTAAACTGCCTGCCCATTTAGTCCATGAATATGAGCATGCACCTGGAGGGTATGTTATGCAGTTACGGAAATGTGGAGTGAAGAAGCTGGTGGCCTGCTTCTATGCCCTGCCAGCCATTTACCTAAAGCTTAGATGGGTTCACAGCGACCTGTTTAGTGAGTCACTGAAGGCCATTGCAAAACTCACCTTTGGTAAGCAAGTAGGTGACAGCTTGCTGACTCTCTTAAACACAGGAGAAAACAGGAGGAATGGACATGCAGCCTGAATATGAAATGAAATATGCTAACCAAAGGTAGGTACTTTTAGTGGAATTCTATCAGCAGGAGATTGAATGTAAATGAGAAAAGACTTGGATCAGGGCATTGAGAGGCAGTGTTACTTTTCCAAAGATGTGTTAGGTATCTTTGCAGAACACTTCCACTTGGCTTTCATTACTGGTTCTTGGACAGCTGACTCACATGTTCCTGTTAGTGGTGCATGTTCAGTAGTTCAAACTTCTGGAAGATGCTGAGACAGAAATAGACCAGATCAAGGATGAATAAAGCAGGAAATTCAGCAGTAATTCAGATATGGAAACTGGATAATGTATGTTCATGTATTGGACTATTGAAAGGAAGGGTGGAGTGATTGGCTTCCTGCACCAGAGAGAAGCAAAAATAACTTAACCATGGAAAAAATGTTTAGGCCACATCAGAAGATGGTTCTTCAAGACCCATAAGTCCCAAAACTGGATCCTGTTTTCACCCTTGGTTGTTCTTTGTTTTTGTTCTTTGTTTTTTCCAATATATGTAATGCAGCAAATTACTTTTTGTTTTTGTGCCTCAGGTTCCTCAGCTGTAAAATGGAAAATATATTAATAATAATAATATTAATAATAATAATAATGGTAATGTAGTACTTGTTTGTAAAGCACTTTGAGATCCTTGGTTGAAAGGCACCATAGCAGTGCCAAGTATTATTTTGTGGCCAAGGGGGTTATTTAAACTCTCAGTTTGCAAGGGCCAGGAGAAGTTGGGGTCATTTTTGTTAAAGATGAGCTGTAAATATCCTAAGTACCCAGCCTGTAGTGTTGACGATGAAGAGGCAAAACTATTTCAAGGCTGATAAAGCTATAGTCTCTTAATGGCTACCAACAAGGCAAGCATCACAGTAACAAATGCCAAATTCCTTGGGGTGGACTATTTGACAACAACATGGAAACATTAGGGGGAGAACTGGGAGCGGGAGACATCTCAAAAATGCCAATGTCAAATTAACTGTCAGCAATATTCACCAGCAGAAAATGTCTCTCATATGGAATGATTTCATGTTGCTAGAAAAAAAAAAAAAGAATTCAATTTGTAGTCCTGATTTGAATATTAGAATGTTGGCTATAATAGTTCTGTTCTTACAACACATGGATTTTTTGTTTCATTTTATTTTATTTTGTTTTCATAGTGCATGTTCATTTCTACTCACAAAACATGTTCTTGGTGTATTTCTTATGCAAACAGTCTTCAGGCAGCAGAGATGTCTGTTACATCTAAACTTGAATAATAAAGTTTTACCACCAGTTATACATCGCGGTGTTGGTATGGTTTCTGTGGGTTTACTTCACCCATGCAACAACAGGAAAAACGGACCTTTGTAACATGGAGACAGGCTCTGATGACTTGGGGTAGTAAAGACACATCACCATGTTCAGAGAAGTTCTCAAGTTGAGAAAATCTGGATTCTCTCATCTTGTTTTTCCTTTAACCAGTCCATCTCATCTTGACAGATTTTTGTGTAAAAAATTAGGCTAGTTCCTTTAGGAAAATTAATAATTGTGCTTATTTCAAAAGCCTTTTGAGTATCAAGTATTAAATGTTGAATATTGACCAATGGTTTTGTTAAAATATTAAAAACTCATGTAAAGTTTCAACTTTGAGTCAGTTGATTATGCCCATGTGCCTTGGATGTGAAGATCCTGATAAATCATCTCAGAACAGGTGAACATGGCAGTACCTAATAAAATGAATGGGGGCCAGTTTTTAAAGAGACAGAAGAAATCAAGGTAGAAAAAGAACATCGAACAATTCGCCCAGAAGGAGAAACAAAAGCACGGAACACACAGTACATAACTAATTGATTTAGAAGATTAGTTTTGAAAGTTGCAAAATAATTAGCGTATCCTTGCACAATCTTCACTTCTCATTTTTGTGGACCCAAATTAATGAACAAACCCTTGTATTCCTTTTTTTTTTTTTTTTTTTTTGTTCCCTCCCATTGCCTGTGTTTTGAAAACAGCACAGAGGAGAGACTGTGAGGGGGCTTTCACAACTGCAATAAGCTTGCTTTGCAGCTGCGGGCAATGTTCCAGATAAGGGTATATTAAGAACGTGATGCCTTTTCTTTATATAGGAGTTGATTCTTCTGTGAGGGCCACTCCTCTTATAGGTTAAATGCACTTTGTTCTTGCCTAGAACTGACAGAATCCCCTTAAAGGAGAAATGTGTTGCATTCAACTGTTGACTCTGTCTGCAGGGAGAGGAGATGGTGAAACTGGCATGGTGCATCTCCCTGCTTTATTTGGTCTCTTGTCTCTGGGAGAGTATGGGCTCAGAAACTCAACCCAGAACTAGCAAAGAATTTCTGGGTCAACTTAGCAGGGTGGAGACTTGTGGAATGGGAGTTTTTTCTTTTTTTCCCTATGTATGGATGTAGTTCTTCCTGGGCTCTCAGAGTATTGCCAAGGGAGCATGCTGTTTTATGCTCCCAATTTCTAGTTTATAAGAAAGAAAGAAATAGGCGAAGAGAATTGCATAGGAAAACTGATTTTTTTTTTCAGTGTCATATGCTGACTTTTTTATACTGCTATAAACTGAACACTTGTTCAGAAGCAATTCCAGCCCTGGCCTGCCAGTGTACGGGGAGTGAGTGGAAGGGATGGTCAACCCCAGTGAACTCTCTTAGCTGGCAGGGAGGAAACTGCCCAAAGGTCAGAGGTCAGTAGTGTTTCTCCTAAGTTTTGTCATGGGTTCTGCTGCATCTCCAGCTCGGCCAGGAACCCTATAATACCTGCCTGATCCCTTCAGGGCCAGAGTGGCCCAAGACTAAAGACATTAGTGCAAGGGAAAAAGAAACCATTTTTAAAAGGTATAGAGGAAATTTGTGTGTCTATTGATGTTGGTGTGAAGAAATTTACACTTTGATGAGCAAAGAAATGTCAAACTTTATGTATAATTGCCGAAGTTGATGTTCAGTAATGTCCAAGATGTCCATGTATCCTTCATCCATGTCAGAATTAGGGTGAAAATAACAGGGCCAGAAAAACAAAAAGTAACAGTTGATGAAGAGAGTAGAAGTTTTGTAAGTTAAAACTGGCCATACTAATGAATAATTTAAAGCGTTAAACAAAGAACATCCTAATAAAATCTGATTTCTAGTTTTGTGAATCGTTCTTTGCTATATTCAGGGTATTACTAATACAAAAAGCATTCTTTGCTAATGTTTGTAGAACATGCCACATGAGGCAGCTACCAGTATAGGATATGTCAGAAGAGGCAGCTATCGGCACTTCTGCCAGCTTCCTGCTTAATAACGTCAATAGCAGCAAAAATGACCAGATACTTTCTTCTTCAGTTCAGCACCAACTAGCTAGTCTTGACTTCCCTAATAGTCTCATATTCATTACTACTATTATTTTTTTTACTTAAAAGACTGACAGCTCTTCTCTGCCAGTTCCTTTCCCAAATGCCCACACCAGCCAAGCCTCAGCTAAGTCAAAGCTGGGAGCCAAGAACTCAATTCAAACCCTACACTTGAGTGGCAGGAACCTAACAACTGCAGACAAGGCTCTTCCTTGCAGCGCTGACTCAAAACAAAGCACTCCAGGCGGGCAGGTGTTTTCATCTCCAGCCTCAGTACCTGCACTTGTCTCCTGTTTAAAATGTAAGCTTTTGTGCACAACACTCTCTGCTTGGATGTCTTTGCGGCCTCGGCTCTCTAATTCAAACACTGAAATTCACTTAGTTCCATCTTTAAATCCAGAAAGAAGCAGAGTGTCATTTGCTTTCCAAGATTGGATTCTTTATTCTGGACTGTTGTCTTTGGCATCTAAAACTATTTCACCTAAGTAGAGTTTGATCCAAACAACGCTTCCAGCAGCATGTTCTTTCATTAGAGCAATGGGCATAGTACACTGACTGTTGATAGTCATTTCGGTTGAGTTTCATGAAGACATTGTGCTACCGGGGGCCACTCCTGCATGCCTGCTTCCCATCCTCTGCCCTCACAAGCACTCACAGAAGCCACTGAGACATCCACCTCTCCACCTTCCCGTCCCAAGCAATTTAACTGTTCAGGCATTCTCTTAGATGTTTTATAATTCACAACTGCTTGTCTCAAGATGAGCATCAATATGAATCTGTCACTATTTAAACTCGGTTGTGGCATGATATTTTACATAAGAAGATGTTTTTAAACAAAGGCACCAGGGAGAAGCATACTTCTTATTGGGATATACTATTTTCTATAGTGATTTCAGGTAAGTGGTTATGTTAAGATGCACTGAAGTCATAGAAACAGCATTTTGTAAACAGTGATACCTTGGGTTTATGTTTTGAATACCTAATCGTCAGTGAGATATGAAAAATAACAAGGATAATAAATTCACGATCTTACAAGTTAATGCCACATGCTAACTTCCACATTGAGGACATTTCTCATGGAATTTTAGGTAAAGTTTATAAGTATCTGTCACAATCTCAAAATCTTGAGTAGTATGATGAAGGACGGGAAGTCAAAAAGATGTCAAAGTGATTTTTTTATTTTCCTCTTTTTTTTTAGCTACTTTTCTCCCAAAGACATTTATTTATAGGCCATGTTTATGTATCACAAACTTTCGGTTTATCTTCAATGCTGATGATAATTATTTGTATCTCTTCTGGATTAAGTTCCTTTGAGTCTGATCAGCTTTAAGGCCATCTGATAGAGAAGTATGATAGAGGGAATATAAGATTATAGACTCCTGAAGAGTAGGATGACCTTGGAGAATAAAAAAATATATTTAATATGATGCTTAAAGATCAGACATTATTTTACCTTATTTCCAAGATTAGCTGTTTTTCTTAATGAAACATATTACTCTGAGTTTCAAATGAAGTCAACAAACCTTCACAAATATTTATATCTTTCCATAGCATACGCTTTCTGAAAATTGAAGTTTCTTCTAAATCACATAAAACTGTGAATATATTTTGTAGAAAATAATAACTTTAATTTTCAGATGTATAATTGAAGCATGGACCACAATTTGAACACCAAACTACTCAAGGAGTATCTCTATATCTAAATTAGGTTCAGTTGTATCACATACTATGATAGAAAAATATGAAAATAAAATACAGGGGTTTCAAAGTAGGAAAGTGGAAAACCTAGCTACATCTTGGAAAAACTTCAAAGTGGTGCTATCTCACGGAAGGATAAACCAAAAACCAAAATTCAGAAAAAGTGCCTTTGTGCTTCCATTCAATATCATGTGCATGCATAAGTGTGCGTGTGTGAGAGAAAGCACTTCCAAGTGCTAATTCACTCCCCAGTTACTGAGTTGGGTCTAGTTGAGGATGAAGGCAGGAACCCAGAGCTCCAATCCTATTTCCCTCATGGGCGGCAGAGGACCAAGCACTCGGGCCATCTTCTGCCTTTCATGCCATAGTCGTAGGACCACAAGCAGGACAACTGGAAGTGACTGGAAATGTCACTTTGACATGGGCTCTGCTTTCACAAAAAGTGGCTTGATCCAATCAGTTGAGAGGCTGGCCCTCACTTGGTGACTGTTGGACCAGGATGGCTTCCTTCATTTCCAATGCACTGGAGGTAGAATAAAAATGTCCACTTTGGAAAGAGAATGTCCTATTTCTGTTTAGGAAATCACTACAACACAATCTGCCACTGCTATCTAGATCTATGTTTACAGTTCTGTTGACACAAAAGCTAATTACATAGAACTCTTCAACTGTATGCCTTTGTTCTTTTCAGGAATCATTTTTATAACTACCAGAAGAGGGCAGGGAAGGGAAGAAAACAAAAACAAACAAACATATATGAGAGTTACTCCATTGCTTAAAAACAATTAAAGCTCATTTTCCCTTTGTTGTCAACATCTACCAGAGTGTCTGGTGATGATGAACATTTAATAAATACTTTCTGGATTCGATAAAATCGTTTATAAGTGATCTGAAAAATAGCAACTAGAGGAAGAGACTAAGAAAAATAGAAAATAGCATTTGGGAGTTATTTGAGGCACAAATGCCTTGGATTTATTTTCTCTATCTACTAGGGCAATTTTAAACCTCTTAGTCACTGAGTAAATAAAACCTGATTAAATCATAAAGGTGGAAGGATTGGGTGTATCCAAACCGAAGACCAGAAATGCAGGTTGGCAATCTATGTTGCTAAAATATATTCAAGAGAAACAGCAAAATTCAACTTGTTCTCTACTTAATTGTCTGTGGCCTGCTATGACCTGAGAGTTCCCCTGTAAAATGCATATGTTGAAATCGTAGCTCACAAAGTCATATCATGAGGGATGACCTCAT